AAAGTAAGACGGGTTTAAATTTACTTAGAACATTTTTTTATTACAATAGTTATACAATATCTCTGCTTTTGGAGTTTAATGATGATTCTCTTTTTCTGATTTTCAGTTATAAAATGCAAACCAGAGGATGTCACCTCACCAGATCATGCTAGTGTACACTGCTCTCATCCTTACGGAAATTTCTCATATGACTCTCAGTGTGAATACTCCTGTGAAGAAGGTTATGAACTAAAGGGTTCCAGTACGACAAGATGCACTTCTACCACAGAGTGGTCAAGGAAACCACCAACCTGTGAACGTGAGTTGAATTTACATTGTAAAAAAAAAAGAACACATTTGATCAGATGCTTTTTAAAACACTTTGACATCTTTTTGCAGTTGTTCGATGTCCAGAGCTGATTGAACCACAGAAGGGCCAAATGCAGTGTCTCCATTCAATGGACATCTTCAGCTATCAATCCACCTGTGAGTTTATGTGTGAAGAAGGATACACGCTCCGAGACTTCAGCTCCTCTACACTGTTCTGTAGGGCAACGGGACGCTGGAATGATTCACAACCCACTTGTGAAAGTAAGACGGGTTTAAATTTACTTAGAACATTTTTTTATTACAATAGTTATACAATATCTCTGCTTTTGGAGTTTAATGATGATTCTCTTTTTCTGATTTTCAGTTATAAAATGCAAACCAGAGGACGTCACCTCACCAGATCATGCTAGTGTCCACTGCTCTCATCCTCATGAAAATTTCTCATATGACTCTCAGTGTGAATATTCCTGTGAAGAAGGTTATGAACTAAAGGGTTCCAGTACGACAAGATGCACTTCTACCACAGAGTGGTCAAGCAAACCACCAACCTGTGAACGTGAGTAGAATTTACATTGTAAAAAAAAAATGAGACATTTGATCAGATGCTTTTTAAAACACTTTGACATCTTTTTGCAGTTGTTCGATGTCCAGAGCTGATTGAACCACAGAAGGGCCAAATGCAGTGTCTCCATTCAATGGACATCTTCAGCTATCAATCCACCTGTGAGTTTATGTGTGAAGAAGGATACACGCTGCGAGACTCCAGCTCCTCTACACTGTTCTGTAGGGCAACGGGACGCTGGAATGATTCACAACCCACTTGTGAAAGTAAGACGGGTTTAAATTTACTTAGAACATTTTTTTATTACAATAATTATACAATATCTCTGCTTTTGGAGTTTAATGATGATTCTCTTTTTCTGATTTTCAGTTATAAAATGCAAACCAGAGGACGTCACCTCACCAGATCATGCTAGTGTACACTGCTCTCATCCTTACGGAAATTTCTCATATGACTCTCAGTGTGAATACTCCTGTGAAGAAGGTTATGAACTAAAGGGTTCCAGTACGACAAGATGCACTTCTACCACAGAGTGGTCAAGCAAACCACCAACCTGTGAACGTGAGTTGAATTTACACTGAGGAACATTTACAGACGCTGTTCAAACCTGCTTAAATTATCTACACTTTCCTTTGACATGTCTATGAATCTTTTTGCAGTTGTTCAATGTCTAGAGCTGATCAGTCCACAGGATGGCAAAATGCACTGCCAACATCCTATTGGCCGGTTCAGCTATCAATCCACCTGTGAGTTTATGTGTGAAGAAGGATACACGCTGCGAGACTCCAGCTCCTCTACACTGTTCTGTAGGGCAACGGGACGCTGGAATGATTCACAACCCACTTGTGAAAGTAAGACGGGTTTAAATTTACTTAGAACATTTTTTTATTACAATAATTATACAATATCTCTGCTTTTGGAGTTTAATGATGATTCTCTTTTTCTGATTTTCAGTAATAAAATGCAAACCAGAGGATGTCACCTCACCAGATCATGCTAGTGTCCACTGCTCTCATCCTCATGAAAATTACTCATATGACTCTCAGTGTGAATATTCCTGTGAAGAAGGTTATAAACTAAAGGGTTCCAGTACGACAAGATGCACTTCTACCACAGAGTGGTCAAGCAAACCACCAACCTGTGAACGTGAGTAGCATTTATATTATGCAAACAAAAAGACATCTGATGAATATTTTGCAATCGCTCCTTTGAAAAAAACTCTCATGAAAACTGTCTGATCTGTTCATAAATTTCCCCCTTTCCTCACAGTTATTCACTGCCCAGCCCTTGACAGTCATGTCAATGGAGAGCTGAGCTGCACTTCCAGCTTTAAATATGGGAGCAAATGCAGCTTCAGTTGTGCTGAAGGATTTCACCTCCAGGGAGCTTCAGAAATCAGCTGTACAAAAGCAGCAAGGTGGAGTCAGGAACCACCTCGCTGTGAAGGTAATCAATAAACTTTTTCCTAATTTATGAATTTACAGGTTAATTTATTGTATTTCAAAAAATAAGTTAGCCTAAGTGAATTTTATCATACTAAACACTTTGTCTTTTTTCAACTTTGTAGCAGTGCTCTGCCCACAGCTTTCTGAGCCTATCAACGGGCATATGAACTGCTCATCTGAAGAACCCACCTTTGGCACCTTCTGCATCTTCAGCTGTTATGAAGGCCACCAACTTGAAGACCAGAGTAAAGAGATAGTGATGTGCAACTACAATGGGAGCTGGTCAGGGGAAGTGGCGGTGTGTCAAGGTAAACAGCTGTTTACCATTTGGTTGATGAAGTGAGAAAGACATTCTAGTGCAGGGGTGGCGAACTCCGGTCCTGGAGAGCCGCAGCCCTGCAGAGTTCAGCTCCAACCCTAATTAAAACTCACCTGCCTGTAGGTTCCTAGTAACCGTTCAGACCTTGATTAGCTTGTTCAGGTATGTTTGATTAGGGTTGAAGCAAAACTCTGCAGGGCTGCGGCTCTCCAGGACCGACGTTCACCACCCCTGTTCTATGGCTTATTTCATTTTATTTGTATTTTCAGCTCCTGCATCGTTCTTCAAAGCAACAGAAGTGACTCTTGGTGTTTCAGGCGCTATCAGTGTCTCCGGTCTGGGCTTAGTCCTCTGGATACTGAAGAGACTGAGGAGAAAAGGTGAGTAAAACAGTCTACTGAGTTTGTGAACATGTTCTAATTCTTTAATAATATACTGAAAATTATGTCTTTTTGTTTCCAGCTAACAATTTTGACCTGAACAGGTGAGATATGTCTCTTTTTTTGCAGTTATATTTTTCTTGTATCATTACTGTCATTATTTATCACTTTTGGTACATACAGGACTATATCTGCTTTTGTCTGTTTCATTTTTAGTACCTTGGATATTGAGGATCCACCACAGTTTTATAAGAACAGTGTTGACAGTCTCATATAGAGCAAAATAGCATCAAATAGCATACAGCATATCCGGTGAGCATATATTCCTCATGCACATATACAGGCCAGTATGTGTAAAGATAGCTTTGTAACTTATTCCAGTGAACAATTCATTGAAAAACTCAATTCTTCTTCACGGGACTCACAACTGCCTCACTGGACATAAACATTTATGTCATAACAAATGATTTAAGGCACTTGGATATTTTTGGCATTATCAGTTACTAGGCAACAGTCCTAACTGAATGTGATTTTTACTTCCCAATGGAAGCTTTTATGATTTACTTGACTGAACATATTGTTCTGTACTGTATAAATGTACTCGTTTTTATGCTATTAATATACACATCTTTTTGTACTATTTATTGTTCCAAAACTGTATTGGTCATATTAAACTATTTGTACATGTAAACCAATAAAGTGTGAAGTGTGACTCTCTACAACTTTACGAAAAAACATTGAGCATTTTTCAAAATCAAAGCATGAATACACATTTATGTGATTGATCATTCCATCTGAATGATCAGCAGTATATTTGAATCTTAACACCTAAATAAAGGCTAGAATTGAGGTCACTGTACACTGTAAGTACAGTTATTGCAGTGAAAGGTTTTGTTCAAATAACCAAGCCCAGGTCATGTTCATCTGGACATATCCTGTGACGGACTTTCCTTCAAGCTGTATATAATCATCAAGTGTTTGTTTTATATTTTAGAGAGTTCGCTTTTTCAGAAATACCTTTCAGAGGTCAGTGTCTTCTGAATGATCCTTGCCATAAATTACCCACATTTAATTATTTGATTTCTTTTTATGATGAGTTTAGTCTTCTAATCATTCAATAATCATCTAATCATTATATGCATCTCAGCACCATTCTCTTTGTGCAAGTGATGATTTGACAAGATAAAAGAACATATAAGTTAACCAGCATCTCTTGACATTTCTCTTAGGCTGAAGAAAGAAAGACATCTACATCTTGAATGGCCTGGGGATGAGTAAATGAAAATGAATGTCTGGAAATGTTCATTTTTGGGAGAACTACACCTTTAATCTCTTTGTAAATGTGAACAAAGTTTGACTTTCATGATGTCATGGGTGTTTCAATGCATTTTCCACTTTCAGCTGAATGCCTAAATCTTCCAAAGCATAAATGTATCATTTTTCAACACCAATGTATAAAAAATAAATAGTAAGTGTGATTGATCGTTCCATTTGTAAGATGATCAGCCGTATATTTGAATCTTAACACCTAAATTAAGCCTGGGAATGAAGTCTCTGTTCTCTTCGTTTATCTTTCATCACCTTTAAGTGCATACAGCCATTAGCATTGTGAATGCAGTGAAAGGTTTTGTTTAAATGACCCAGGTCATGTTCATCTGGACGTATCCTGTGACTGTGTCATTCCCTGAAGCTGCGTATAATCAGGGAGTGTATGTTAGCTTTTACAGAAATACCTTTCAGAGGTTAAAGTGATCATGTAATCATTATATGCAACTCAGCACCATTCTATTTGTGCAAGACAGAATTTTACCAAAAGATAAAAGACCATATAAAAGATAAGCAATTTCCAAAAAGTGGCATTCTTTCCCAGGTTGTTACATAATGTTTATTCTTTTGAATCTGTGAGAAAACATCCTGCAATTTAATGGTAATGGCTTATATATATGGTGGAAAAACCCACTTTGCCCACAGTTATCAGAGCATATGTGAGAATGGACTGTTGAAATGCAACTAGAGCTGCAATGTACAATATTCTACTAAAGACAAGTGCCTCTGTCGAAAGGAGACTAAAGAGAACCATGGTATGCATCTATTATGAAATTTGCATTTCATTTGAACCTTTTTGGTTCAATACAAGCCTTTAAAAAGTACTATCCATTTATACTAGCAATTAAGTGGTTGTTTTTATTGTTCAGGCTGGAGGTGTTGTGGTGCTTAAAACGACATCTGTGCACATAGGAGTTTTGATACATCTCTGCTTCATATTGGGTAAGTGAATTCTACATTCATCTTCCTTCCAGAATAAAATAAATATGAGAAATAAATTTAACTTGAACTTTTGATGGACAACATTTTAGTCAGTGTTGAAGGATGGACGTATTACTGGACAGACAACGAGACAATGTCCTGGAATGAGACAAGAAAGTGGTGTCAAAATCATTACACAGACATTGTGATGGTCCACAACGAAAATGTAACACGTTTCCTTAAAGAAAATGTGAAAAACAAAACATCTCCCTACTACTGGATTGGAATGCAAAAGATCAATGGCACTTGGATGTGGGTTGCCAATGGACAAATCATGAAATATCAAAACTGGGCAACCAATGAGCCCAACAACAACAAGTCTAATGAAAACTGTGTGGAATTGTACACCAGCAAAACAAACAATAATGGAAAGTGGAACGATGACAACTGTCAATTGGCAAAGTATCCTTTATGCCAAAAAGGTAAGGAGTTGGAGATGAAAGGTGCCTTACTTGTTCAATTAGTTGATTCATTTCCGGTTAGAGCACATATTTTTATGTGCATAACCTTTATGAGTCTAATAGAGACGTTTCTGAGAGAGAAAATCTGGGTGTTTTATAGTCCAGAAAGGATTTTTTAAAATTAATCTAGGCATTTTCTTTCAGCACACTGTCCAAATGATACATGCACTGATAGAGAGGACTGCATAGAGCAAGTCAGCAGCTTTACCTGTGT